GGACCTGCCCCTAATGAACCCATGTTGGTTGCCCCTAAGCTTACACTCCCCTGCTTCCCCTTCGCAGATGTGCACCTGGATAATTTTCTCAAACAACTTCCCCAGGACCAAGGTAAGACTAACAGGCATATAATTTCCCGGGTCCTCCTTCCTCCCTTTTTTGAAGATGGGAACCACATTGGCCCTCTTCCAGTCCTCTGGCACCACACCAGAGTACCACGAGTGCTCGTACAGCCGTGCCAGGGGTCCTGCAATGACTGCAGCTAATTCCCTCAGCACTCAGGGGTGGAGATCGTCCGGACCAGCTGATTTGAACATGTCCAGTCCCTCCAGGAGTTCCCTGACTAGGTCCTCACTGACCCTGGGACCATCGGGGATCCCGGTGTGGGGGGATGACCTGGTCCCTGCTCAGAAAAATGGAGGCAAAGAAACTGCCCTCCCCTATCAAGACTTATAGAAGAAAGGCCTCTGAACTTCTTTTTATTGCTCACTGCCCTTACATATTGGAAAGAAAACCAGCGCATGGAAAGAAAATGCATATTGGAAAGAAAATGTGCATTTGACTCAATTTCTTTTACTAGACCTCTGCCCTGGAGTGCCCGTGAGGGACATGGAGACTCAAGCAGTCATGGGAACCTATATTTCACAATGCTTAATATTGTTATTGAAACGCTGTCTCTGTTTATTATGCAAGCATACAGGCGCCTGTGGGTATATATAAAGCAGATCAATGATACCAATGTCTAGCCAATATTCACCCATCCAGCTAGGGAGGTTTTCATATGGGAAGACCATTCTGTAAAGAAATACAGTCCCTGCTTCAAAATCCTGGGCAGCTGGCTTGCACCCACTCCTAGACGTTGCCGGCTATGTCCCGATCACGTTCAAAAGGACTCCACAGCCTAAATTGGGGTTTCCCGGGCTGCACAAGAGACTTCATTGAGAATTCCCTTGTTTCCTGCCACCCTGGGGGGAGAGAGCAACTGCATTCATGCAAAACACAACAGGATGCTGAAGCAAAGACAGGACATGCCCAGCACGTTACAGCAGTTTTGCCTTCTCAGGCAAAGCTTTCCCTCTGGTGCTGTTCCAGGCAGCATGAGGGTCAGTCACAGGCTAAATAAGAGCTTTATAGGCCACATCATAAACACTTGGAAAGGCTTTTATGGTCAGGGTCTAAAGGTTCAACAAACTTTCACTGGCAATAACCTTCTACATGTTTATGGCCTGCATTGTACTTGAGTAGCAAGAGACCTTTCCCTCTCTAGCCCTAAAGAATCCTAAGCATCCAGCTAAGTTGATAAAGCCCCACTGCTACGATGCAATCATGACACTTTAATCAAAATAACTGCCCCGGGACTCATTTCTGTTGTGACCTTGGCTGCCAAAGCTTTGACTTCTGTGACTTTTCCAATGCAGAGCAGTTGGCAGAAGACACCAAGGTAATTTTTGCACTTGTGCACAGCAGTGGCAAACACCCTCCTAAGTACCTTCCCAGATGTTTGAGCACGGCTGCCCATGCAGCAGATGGTACTGGCAAGAACAAAACCTGTGGCCCATAAACTGTTACTTTGCTGCCCATTGTTTTACAGATGAACTCACCCACATGTCAAGGCCACGGGGAAGAAGTGGAGTGATGCCTGTTGTACGGATTTCCCATAATTTCTTTTCCATATTACACACAGGCTAAACTTCTAGCCCCTCATTCAGTGGTAATTCAAAGGCCTTATGATCTGGATGAAGGTGGTCCAGTGGGATCCAATTGTGCATTTGTTTTTATATATTACCAGATTTCTAAGGTCCAAAGGGCCCATTATAGCTGTTATGATGGATGAGAGGAGCTCTGTTCATTTGGATTAACGAAGAGAAGGATGATAGTTGACTGAGATCACGTCATCTCTAAGTACCTACTTGGGAAAAGATTTCTGGAAGCAGAGGGCTCTTTAGTCCATCAGTCAAAGACATATCAGGACGCAGTGATGGCATCCTGTAGCTAGACAAATTCAGACCAAGGGTCAGGTGTGCCAGGGATGGGTGTTGGTCATTGGAACACCTTGCTCAGGGCAGCGGTGGATTCTCCATTAGCTGCAGTCTTTAAATCAAGGTCTGAGGGTCTTTTCTGAAAGATTTGCTCTAGCCTAACCAGAGGTCAGGGGCTTGATGACTAGGTGATGGTCTCTGCTTGACTGCAGCAGAGAAGCCATGGTCAGGGCATAAAGGCAACCCTAGGCTCAAACAAACCATGAGCATCTCTCAGTGCTTTCTGTGGCTGCAAGTGTTGAGCAGATATTTGCATTCTGGACTATTTCTGTAGTGAACTCCTTTGTTCAGAAGCTGATCCACTGCACTGAGCTGGTAACCGATGAGCTGTGCATTTAAAACTGTCCGCCTTGGAGAGTGAGCATGGGGTACACATCAACAGCTACATCAGCTCTGGACTTGGTAGGTGGGACAGCAACAGGCTGATACAGATCTCGAGTCTAGCTAGCTCTGGCACCAACAGACGCATCGCTGCAGCAAGACAGGCCTTCCAGAGGCTGTGCAAGCTGACCTGAGCCCCTGGATACTGGCTAGATGACTGATGGTCCTAACCACTGCTCTATCCTCCCTCTTGGAAAAACCAGCTGTGGCATCCCAGTGGTCGGACTCAGATCTCCATTCCAAGCCTCTGAAAGCCAGTCTGTTCTACCGTCCGAATTGTCAGCAAATATTTGAGGCATAAGATGTAATTTGGAAAACCGCTGATGATACTCTAGTAAAACCCTGGTCCCAGGGGAGGGGGACCATGATTCCTTCTAGGGGCTCTCTTTTCATGGGAGACTCCAGCTCTCCTCGTCTGGGCCACTTCTTCTAAATCAAATAGTCCCCAGAGACATCCAGATGGACTGCAGGAAAACCACTGATCTGGAGGAATCTGATGTTGCATTTATCTGGGACAGCTTGCTTGTTTTGAACAACGGTCCTTCTTTCTATTGTACCTGCCCCCGAAAAGCAGGAGATTGCAGCTGCCTTGGAAAGTACTATTAGTTCCTACATACTATCATTGCTGTTTGATAGTACCTAGGGGTGTGTGAGCTGCTACAGGGTTGAGTAAATGCCAAATTCCCCTTACACACATGCATGCGACTGTGGTTGGGTTCCTTGAGAGAAGACTGAGGGCGACGTCCTAGACCCACTGGCTTTGGGCAGTTGCTGCTGTTGACTACAGCAGAGTCAGGCTTTCATTTTGATAATCCAACCAGATGCTGAATTGCAACAATACTGATTTGTTAAATATTTGCTACCACAGAGCGGCAAGCCGGCCTCTGAGAAAAAGGAAGGACATAGCAATCAGCAGCCTGTGGTTTAGGGCTGCAGTGACTCTGAGCACATGCAGACAAGAAGCCTAAGCAAACACAGAAATGTTGCCAGATGACAGGGAAAATGTTTTGCTTTCAAGTAACCCGCTACTTGAGAGATTCAGTCACAAAAGCTGCCTTATCACTGCCCGGCGGTGCAAAATGAGCAAAGTGCCACTCACCCAGGAGGAGCAGTGTGAAAAGTGGTCTGCCTTCCTGCAACAGAGATGCTTGTGGAAATAATGTGTTTGCTTCTAATCCTGGACCCCTAGCACTGATTCACTGTCAAGTCCTTTGCACCCTATCACTCATATTGTTTCACAGCGCTGCCAGACACAGAAAACAGATTAACACCAATGGATTTCGAGAGCTTTCTGGCTCCTCTCCCTTCCAGGTGCAAAAGCATTCATGGCTGGCCCATGCCTTTGTGCAGCCACAGGGCTTTCTTGTCAGCCAGCCTAGTCGACCTTGCAAACCTGGCCTTCAGTATAATACTAATTCCACCAGTCCCACCTCAAGCATAAGTATGATACGGTCTAGGATTAGCAGTCCTGTGTAGGAAGGGGCATGCCTGTTGGATGCGGTGTGCTTACTGCAAGAGCAAGATGCTGAGCTTTGATATCAATGTCTCTGCAGTGGGGCTTGAGCAAACCTTGCAGGGTTGGGCCTCCTGTGCTTACCTCCACATGGCCTGTTTTAGATGTGTGCATTATTAAATCCCCTATCCTTTGGCTCTCCACCAGATGGTAATAAAGCAGATGAAATACCTTGCACACCACATGTTCTCACAGTACTGGGCTGGTTCCTCTTTTGCTTTCTGCTGGATTCCACCATCAAGTCTTCTTGCCCATGTTCTGGTGCATGGCGTTTATATATCCGGTGGGGTTGGGCTGTGTGGTCCCCATGCATATTTACAGCCAGAGGCTCAATTAAATAGTCTTCGTTAGCAAGCCGAAATGCACCTTTCTGGGAGGGGAGAGAAAGTCAGTGTCATTTGCACGATATGTCAACTTACCATGGAGACAATAACAGGGTTTGCAGAATATTTTGTGCAGAAACAGATGTTTTCTGAACCAACTGCTTCTACCTCTTTATCGGAGTGGTGAGCTATAAACTCCCAGACGCAGAGGAACAAGCCAAAATGGACAAAAAGTCCCATTCTAGCCTTGAGATTCAGAAAGCAGCATTTTTGCGCATGTAGTAAAGTTAAGCTGATCCTATTGCCAAAGTGCAGGTAGAAATGTGACAGAATAGTGGGGTTATTTGACCCTGAGGCACTCAGTAGCAGCAAAGATGGAGATGGAGCCAGATGGGGCCTTCTCCAAATATGCTGGCACAGAAAATGCTGAGCAGGAAGCAGGCACGTGTTCCAGTATGCTGGGAGAAGCTTTTTTTTCTCCCCTACATCAGTCACACTCTGTCTTCTGCCCTCATTGGGAAGGTTCTTCCGTGTGCTACTGTAACAGCCCAAAATATTACTGCTTACCAAGGAGCATTGGTAAAGTGCCAAGATAATGGAAGCCAGCTGCGGCTGCCTTTCTGCACTGTCCAAGCCACTCGTGGTTCTCAGGCTTCCTTAGCCAGAGGCCATGTATCCTGTCTTCGCACATCAGGACATCCTCAGGGAAGCAGAGAAGCAGGAATCTGCAAGAGTACCCGATCAGGGCAGGATCTCGAGCATCTGAGGCAGCTCAGAGGGCGCTTGTACACGTGACACCATGACCATGTACACATGATGAAAATGTCACTTTGTGTGGCTTAATGGCATCACACTGTACATGTGCAAGACTCTGGGGCATTTTAAATGAGTTTGCATCATTGCAAACTAAACTGCATCCTGACGTCATTTAGTTTGCAACTTTGCAAATTACAATGATGCAGCTGTCAGCTCGTCCCCCTGACTGCAGGAAAGGTGGGCAGGCTCTGCAAAAAAAATGGATCAGCCCCCTCACCGCTTCTAGGTGCCCGCTGAAGACAGAAGTGGTGAGGGGGATGATCCTTTTTTTCTGATCCCGGGCAGCCCTGAGGGGTGGCACCACTATGGAGGGAAGGACCGGGGTCCCCTGCAGCTCAGGGGCTGCTCAGCCTGCTGGCAGCTTTCCCCTTGGCTGTGGGCAGGCTCTGCTGAAAAAAAAAAGGATAGGACCCCCTTGTCGTAAAAGGCCTGGAAACCCCTGAAATTGAAATGGTAGGTTTCAATTAAAAACCCACCATTTCAATTTAGGGGCATAGAGTGCAACTCTATGGACTAAACTCCTGTCCCGTGTACAAGCGCCCAGAGTTACTAAGTGAGACAAACTGCATTTACTTTCAGCACAACAAGGAGAGGATGTGCTGTTGACATCTTTCCTTTGGTGGGAACTGAAATCCAAAAAGCTTCTGTTTGGTTAATAATAAACTCTCTGGTGCCTGACTCACACGGAGCACCCCGGCCTGGCCTCGGACCAAAGAGCCCATGATAGCAAGCTATCGGAAATGCTTCTGTTCTCCTGACTTTGCTCTGTGCGTCCCTTTCATCCGATGGGGAGTTCCCCAGCAGAAGTCGGCAGGTTTATTGCACGTGAGTGCTCACGCAGCTATGGGGAGGTATCGCTGCTGGAAATATGTTGTTTAAATGCATTCTCATGCTTTGACATAACTTGGTGGGGTCTTAACTGTGTGAATTGCTGCAGAGGAGCCTTGTCCTGTCTTGAGTTTGTCTGCAACAGTCGGAGGTGCGGTGTGCTGACTCAGAAACCCATTGGCGCTTGGCTTTGTTTATTATGCTTTGTGATCTGACATTTCCACTGTCTGCAGGCCACGAGGAAGAAAAAAAAGGGGGAAGATTACAACATGGCACAATAAAGCTGGTTTTCTTAGCCTCTCATGTTTGTTCCAGGGAGTGTGATCACTAGCTCACTGTGCTGTGTGTGCCCTGAGGCCTAAGAGCACTTCAGGCTCCTTGCTCTCCAGGGCTCCTTTCACACGGTGGAAATCTTCCAGCCACAGAGCATGCATGCACACTGCAACACACCTTCCAGGTGGCACTCACAACCCTTGTGCTGTGTGCAGATTTAATGGAGTATGGAGAGAGGGAAGTTTCTGGCACTACATGCTCAGATTCTCCATGCCAGAGAGAAGCCAAAATGCTACTCACTGGCCATGGCTACAAGAGACGCTTGCTGTGCAGTAGCTCATTACTACTGCGCAGTAGTGTTGCAGGGCAATGCCGATTACTATGCAGTCATTTAGTACTTGGGCATGCAAGCACTAAATGACTGTGCAATAACAACTGCACAGCCAGCGTCTCATGTAGATGTGGCCCCTGTACTCCAGTCTCCCATAAACAGGTGGAGATCCTGGGGAGTCCAACATGCAATGGCAGACTTTTCCCCCAAGTTAGGCCCTGCCCCTGCTCTTGTACCCACAAAGGCAGGTTCTCCTGAATTATATTTTGGGGCTCAATCAAAGGAGCCCAGCTGTATGGATCCAGCCTCAGGACTGTGGCCTTTGTTAGCCATGCTACCTCAGTGGCTTCCCTTGCACAAGACTGGAGGTGGGGGTGGGGGGGGGTCTTCATTTTCAGATGCTGAGCACCTGCGGATGTCAGATGGAGCCGTGAAGGCTCAGAGCCTCTGGGGATCCAACCCCTGCTACCCAGATTCGTGTCTCATCCTGCCTGCCTCTCCCTTATCTCTGCTGCCAGCATCAGCCACAACACCGGCCCTTGCGCCTTTCCCTGCCTGCTATTGTTCTGCTTGCCTCTTGAAAAGAAAATGACCTCCTGAGTCCAGTGTGCTGGGTACTCTCCCCATCCTCTCCCACGGCTCAGGAACATGAACCAAAGACTTGGGAGAGTTTGTGTTTGGAGCAGACCTCCCAGCAAGGCCTACCTCTTCTGGGGATGTTAACAGATGGGGATCTCACAGCAGACCCCATAGCTGGGACTCCTCTGGTCTTTTTGAGCCCTTCCTCAGCCACTCTCCCACATTTGAGGTGACTGAGCTTTGGTTGGTTCTTTTATGTCTGCTGCTCATGAGAGGCAGCTGCATTTAAGGCACTGAAGCCCCAAAAGCTTAGTTTTCATCACAGAATCACACTGTCCATCTGTTGCCTTCTCATTCACAACTCAGCCAGCCTTTCCTCGACTTGCATTTCTTCGGTGATGCATTCTATACTCAAATCCAACTAATGATGCTTTCATGCCATGCATGTGGTTTGTGAACCTGAAATTGCCCCCTGCTCCCTTTATCCCCCCCAAATGCAGGAAAGCAGCTAGTGTGTGTGTGTGTCTGTGTGCGCATGTGCGCGCACTTGCACACATTCAGGGGTGGATGACAGCATCCCCTAGAACGTGCTGCAAATGCCTCCAGCCTGTATGTTGGCTGCCCAAAGACCTACACACACAGTTTAGCCTTCCAAAGGACCAGGGTTCATCACAAGACTTCCTCCTAGATGAATCTTTAAAATAAATGATAATCAGCAATGATTGGGATTTGCTTGGGGTGTCTATATTTAAAGCTAATATTACCACTAATTTAAAGCTACTTTTACCACCATTTTTCAATCCTGATAGTCCATCAGACTAGAGTCCTAACTGTCCTGATCTTGTGTCAGTATTTAACATGCAGTTCGCAAGAGAGACACTACTTTGCCCTACACTGGTTGAGATCACCTAACACAGATCTGGAATGGAAAGCATCCTAAGCAACATAGGGTTATTCTAACTTACATGAATAACATGCACAAAAAGAAGAGAAGAGCTCCTTGGCCTCTAGGAATGCTAATTACACTTGATCTTGCCATAAGTAGGAATTTCAGGTCAAGTCATTTGGATAAAACAACTTGGAACTGCAAAGCCGTTTTCTCCACCCCAATTCTTTTTCCTTGGCAGGCTGAAAACAAAACCTAGAAACCCATCGTATCATGAGTCCCAGCTGTAAAATTGAGGGGGTGGGGGAGTGCAAATTAAAGAGCCTAATTCTGCACTGTAATGAACTGCAATGTGGTGAGAGTTCCCTGAGACCATTCATATCATGCTGGTCTCAGAACAAACCCAAGGGCCTCTGTACCTCTCATTGCTCTTTCCACAATATATCTCCTGCCAGTGCTAGGAGAGCAAACCTTTCCTGACCCTGATATGATGCACTGACAAGGACCTCCTGCACCTTTCTTTTTACATCCTAAATCATAAATAACACCCAGTGCAATGGAATAGTCACAGTCGTCCTACTTCAACTTTCTGCATGATACACAGGTATCCTTTGCCCCCTGCTTAGATGTCTCTCTTATGGCTTTTACAAGTAGACACACTGGAGCTATCGCAATTTCCACCAGTTGAGCACCTTCCCCATGCCTTCGGTGGTTTCCTCACAGAATCTGCGGGGTAAATGTCTACATTTGGGTATCACTGTTATCTTTCTGGGTCTCTGATTAAAAAGAGCATCATATTTCTGCAGACCAAACCCTTGCACTGAGCAAACCTTGTTCTTGCTTAAACAGCTGATGTCCTGGTTCTCAATCAGAGCCACCTGCTTTGGGACAACAGACAGTCTCATATGCAGGCATCAAACCAAAACCTGCTGAACCCTCCTCATCTCTTGAATCACAGACCTCCTCTCTCACTGGGGATAACAGTAGTAGGTCCCTCAGTCTGACTATGGTCAGGCACATAAAGGCAACACGGTACCTTTCCCTGCCTCCGGGCAATCAGTGTCCTTGCTACCCCAAGACATCTGCAGAAGAACAGGGATGTCTAAATCTAACAGCAGGCATCAGGCTCTGGGATCCAGTATTCAAAAGTGCCCAAGCAAATAGGTGGGAGGACAAGAGCTAATCTTGCACCAGGGAGATTTGCCATTAATTTTACTGGGTGCAGAATCCAGCCTGTGGGAGGAAGCTTTGTCCTGAAGAAGGTCAATGAGAGTTTTGTCAGTAAAAGCCTGTATTTCACCCGTCGTTCAGAACAGATCAATGTAAGAACTACCATTTATTGGATCAGACCATAGATCCATCTTGCCCCATCTCCCACGGCACACCGTGGCCAACTGTACCCAGCTCACTCTGCCTTTCAGCATGCACAATGTGGGGGTTTTCTACCCATTGTACCCATTGCACCGAAGGTCTGGGAAGGTCTGATTCAGAGGCCGTGCCCCTCATGCCCATGCTCAACAGCGACTGAGTTATTTAGTACTTTGATATAGGGTGATTAGTTTCAGTGAGCTCCCCAGGAATACTTACCAGCCCATCACAGGTGCTCACAGCTGCCAAACCCCCTTTCAGCGCCGGGCTCCGAACCTCTCCAAGCATGTGGCAGGAATTGTGACCGTAGGAGCGGATCTTGGCCTCAGCGATTCCTCCATAGCGCCACTCGCTCACAAACCCAGGAGCCAGGAGCCGGCTGTTGAGGCTTAAGTTGAACCTCAGGTGCTGTCCTTTGTAACGCAGTTCATAAAAGGCAGGCGAACCGGTCCTTGGGGAGAGGGCCCTCTTGTGAACCACGCGGTGAGAGAGATCATAGGACAGAAAAGACCCGCTCTCGTCCACCTTGATGGGATGGACGATGTCGTAGCCAGGGGCCGGCTGGAGAACAGGCTCTGCGGAGACAACATGCGAACTGTCACACACACATAACCATCCCCAAAAAGCACATAGGCACCTTGCTCCAAATCAAATACGAGAGACTTAGGGACTTATGTAGCAACAAGGAGCCCAAAAACTTTGGTGGATGGGAGCCTGTATGTCCCAGAACACAGCGCCTGTCCCACCCCAGCCCTGCCCTGAAGCCGCGGGCGGGATGATAAACGCCGAGCATTCAAGAAAGCGCAGAGATACTCCAAGACAACGAAGAACAGGAGCAACGGGTAACAGAGGGAGGTGTCGTGGGAGCTGAAGGACAGGAATAAAGATCATTCCTCCTGCTGGAAGGTAGTTGGGACACCTGAGTTAACACCTCCACCCCTAACAAAGTGCCAAGGAAATATCCCGCGGGCATCTGCAAGTGCCACGAGACAAATGAACGCATGGACACATGCTCAGGCTGCTACAAGGCAGCGCACTCTCCTGGCGAGCACATGTTCAACCTAAGTGGTGGTTAAATACTTGTACTGGATCTGACAAGCAAGAAAACATGTCAAGCTTTGCTTCACAAGGTTTTCCTGGCTGCTGGAAAACCCCTGAGACTTGACCCAAACATGATACTAAAAACATTTTCGGATCTATTTTCCTCCACTGGAAGTTTGGTGCCCAGCAAAAGACTTTGTCACAAAAGCAGATGCTTTCCCCCACCCCCTGGTTTCAGTCACAGCAGGACCTAGCAGACTTGCCTTGCCCGGGTCCCTGCTACCCGCTACATACATTATGTAATCATGCAATATAGTCAGACCGGCCGCGAGCGCGAAGGAAGGATCACGCCATTCACTGATGAGTTGTGCTGTGCGCTTCCACTGGCCGCTCCTGCAAGCCACGAAAACGACCGTCCAGACACAAAGAGAGGCAACCAGCCATGAAGGACCGTGTAACAGCTCTAGGGCTGGTTTCTCTCCACACTAGCCATGCAGCCGGCTGCCAGCGGGCTCAGCACTCTTCAGGACCAGGAGGAGGAGGAAGAGGGAAGAGTTGATCCCCAGCCTGGGGATCAAGGTGTTGGAGCTGCCCGCTGCACGGCTGGCAGCTGCTTGGCCTGGGCTCCTTCAGTCCCAGCACCGGGGGGAGGCTTCGGGCAGCTGCAGCCCGGAGATCTCCATGCAATGAAGCCAGTGAAGATGCTTCCCCCCACCGCGCGGCCCCCAGTGCTACCCACCTGGCTCTGGGCTCGCCTGGCTCCGGCCCCCGCAGCCGCTCAGCACCAGCGCCGCGGCCAGGAGCCCCAGGGCGGCGGGGCTGCGCAGGGGCCGCATGGGGGGCTCCCCCCACCCGACCCTGGGTGCCTGGGTCCTCTGTGCGTGTGTGTGCGTGTGCCAATATTTGTGTGTGTGTGTTTATGCGTGACAGTCTTTGTGTGTGTGCGTGCGCGTGTGACAGTCTGTGTGTGTGTGTGTGTGTCTGTATATGTGTGTGTGTATGCGTGACAGTATGTGTGTGTGTGTGTGTATGCGTGACAGTATTCGTGTGTGTCCCGGACGCTTGGCTCCTCTGTGCCTGCCGGAGTGCGTGCGCGTGTTGCTCGCTTGGGCGCTGCGTGTGCACGGGTGTGCGCGTGTGCCCGCTGTCAGCCGCTCGCCGCCGGCGGAGGAGCCGGGAGAGGCGCCGCCCCAGCGCGGGCAGCCCGGCCCCGGGGCACGAGCGTGTGGCC